TGCCCAATTTTATGACTTTTTTTTTTTGCTGTGGTTGTTAAGTGATTAAGCACAGTCATTAAGGAAATCTGGCTTCTCTCCTTGACTTTGTTTCTTGGAAGCCCCCTGGGAAAGTTGCAAACGGCAGTCACGTGACCCTGGGAGGCTGCAACCATCCTAAAGACACGCTGGTTGCCACGCACCCAAATTCTGAACATATGAATGTGGTGACGCTGCAATGGTCATAAGTGTGCGGATGGGTCATAGGTCACTTTTTTCAGCCCCGTTGTAACTTCAAACATTTGTTAAATGAATGATTGTAAGTCAAGGACTACCTGTACCCCTTTTTTTATTTAAGCTAACCAAGTCAGCATCACAAACACGCCTTGGAAAGATTAACCCTACCTCACTTTCCCACAGAATAATAAACGCAATGAAAATCTCGGCACTGTTAAATCAAAACAAGCCTTGCTGAGATCAAAAGAGCTTCCATCACAAAGGAGGGTTATAGAGAGCTTAAGAAAGCTCTAGATAAATAGATAAAATGAAGTGTGTGTGGGACTTATAGAAGCCTATTTTGTACCAGTAGCAAACCCTTGTACCAGTAACACCACCCCTGCCTGGAGCACAAGGCTACATTCATTTATTTATTTTTATGTCCCGCCTTTATTATTTTTACAAATAATTCAAGGCAGCAAACGTATTGAACACACCTTTCCTCCTCTTATTTTTATTACACACCGGCAACCTACACGTATAATTATTGCCAATATATATTATACACGTATTGCCAATCGCTAATCCTCAAGCGAGCCGTAACACAATCGTTACCAACCTGATCCCCTGCAGATGCGATGGGATTTCACTCTGCAGGATTTTCTTACTTCAGATTGGTTTTGGCTGGAGGGTTTTGTGGGTAAAAGGAAAGATATCCACTGAAGACATCTAATTTTCCAATCTGTATTTTGGTTGCCCTACTGATTGCAGTAGCAAGTGGTGAGACTGAATATCTGTTCCTGGAGTACCCGGTAGTTTTCTATGACTGGATCCACACATTCAGTTAAATCATAATCGTAAACCATAATTTATTAACTGAATCACAATAGGCTGGGCTTGTTGACTTCGAGAATCTTTGAAGTATATAAACATGACTTATGAACAGCATCTGAGCTAACTAATAGCAGTAAGACGTAAATGGTTTGTAAGAGTTAGAATACATTGTGCAAAGCCAAAACTGTCCTTTCGAAACCATTGTTCATGGTTTACTATATTATAAGAACCCAATTATCATCATCATCATCATTCTAGCCATTATCTATCCACCGCAGGATGACGCCCTCTTCCGCATGTTTCCAACCAATAGCCTTGAGAGAACCCAATCAATTATGGCTTAACCAACAATGATCTAAAGACAAAGCACACCCAGGAGTAATCTTTCTTGCAGTCACCACTAGCAAGCCCCACTGAATGCAACAAGAGTTACTTCCGAGTAGCCACAGAGAACTGCATTCTCCCTTTGAAATTAAAACTTCCTATTCTTTTTCCTAGCCATCCCCTTATTTCCTGGTATCCATCAGGAACCACAAGCCGTAGTTGGATATAAATACGCACTCGTTTTCAATGGAAGAGCAAGAATGCGTCACCGTGTAAGCTGAGTGTTACTTGTCTCACCAGGCCGTGATCAAAACAAGGCATCAGGTCCAACCAATCTCTCCCTGTGAACTTCCGAGACTCTCTCTGCTTTAGCTTCCTTAGTTGTGCATCCCCTGGGTGCTAAATTTAGAGGATTCTACAACGCACAGACACAGGCATATTGTGGGAGATCAAAGTTGGCAGAGAAAGCCAAAACAAGCCCATTAATCCATCTTCCAGAAAGGGAGGCCAAAGACACACCCCAGAGGGGAAGGAAATACACCAGCCAGCCAAGACAACATTAAAATTGCTGTCTCTGTAGTTTCATTTCTGATCTTGATAACCGGATCTTGTTTTGATTTCCCACCATTTCTCTCAGCTGTTCTCCTTGGCCACAGACAAGCAGAGAGTCACCAGCTCAAATTAAAAAGGAGCAATCTAATGAGAAGCCATGAATATAGATTATCCTAAAGGTGTTACAGGATCAGATTTTTTGGGGGGAGCAACTTAGCAGTGTGAAGATCTGGCTTTCCACAGCCTGAAGTGCCTGAAATAATTATATTACTATCCAAAAGGCAATGCATAAAGGACGTTACCTTCAGCTTTAAATGTTATTCTGATCATATTTTTGGAAGTTCATAGTTTGACAATTTAATCACCATGATTATATTACTGGAAGTCGACCAAGCTGATCCTATAAGACCAGATCCAAATTTTATTACAATTATTAAGCACCTTCAAGTTTGTATTGATTCTGAGCAAACCCATAATGAGATTTTTTTCCCCCCCAGAATGATCTATCCTTAACCTGGCCAACTTGGCATCTTCAAAATGACCTGAAATTCTGGAGACTGAATTTCAAGATACCTGGGCAATACCTGGCTGGATAAGGCCACTACATCAGAATGTATCACTTGGCCAGGGAGAAAGTGACCAGCCGGAAGTTACTTACTAGTTGCTTACCCAGAACATAACTGATCAAGCTAAAAGCAGCTTTGTGCATTCCAAAATTCTAAGTTTTATTGGGGTTCAATTAAATCAGTTTTTAGCCTCTTGAATTAGGATAGGAATACCCAAAGCATAGGGTTCAGCGTATCGTGCAAGTTCATAAAATAGTTTAATTCGGTAACTAGAATCAGTCAGTTCTCTTAATACAAACCAGCAGATCTATCCATTCCTAGTTTCAATAGGAACTTAAATCTGAGTGTCCTTGGTCCTTAACCACTTCCTCACATTGTTTCATTCTGCTCAAGCCTATTTGCTTTTGATACCCTTTCCCTGAACTGAGATTACTGCAGTCAACACCATTAATGTACTTATCTAGGAATTAATGGCCAATAAGCCTGAAAAACAGAGCTATGGCCAGCTAGCTGACTTTAAAGTTTCAGAGTATACACCGACTTAGTGACACAGATCAAGTTGTTTTAGCTTCTTTCACCACTAACAAAATAAGCCAGCTAAAACATTCAGGGAGCTTGTTTTGGGTAATTTTACCGCTGCTGACCTAGGTCAAATCAGGCAGGGAACACAGCATAAATTCACACAAACATTTAGTCCAACTATTGGATTAACCCATCTTTTCGGTAATAAAACACACTGGAGACTTGTTAGCTGCGAAGTCGTGTCCGACCCATCGCGACCCCGTGGACAACGTTCCTCCAGGCCTTCCTGTCCTCTACCATCTTCTGGAGACCATTTAAGCTCAGGCCTGCTGCTTCAGTGACTCCATCCAGCCACCTCATTCTCTGTCGTCCCCTTCTAGCTAAGCAAATAGGCAGGCTTACACAATGCACTAAGCCAGGGGTAGGCAACCTTGGCTCTTTTATGACTCGTGGACTTCAATTCCCAGAATTCCTGAGCCAGCACAGCTGGCTCAGGAATTCTGGGAATTGAAGTCCACGAGTCATAAAAGAGCCCAGGTTGCCTACCCCTGCACTAAGCCCACCACAGTTAAAACTAAGACTACTACAGCCACCCCTATCTTTAACTGACCTGGACAAGCAGAGTTGTGTGAAACCGACCAGCGGGGGGGAAATCAAGTGGTCAGATTCCCACACCCCCTTTTTAAACCCTATCTAGACACAAGCTTTCCCCAAACCCGATCTGGATTCCCCAGGGCTAAAAACAGCCCCCTTCCCGGAATTCAGCTGGGAATTCTTTGCTTGCTTTTCAGAAAGCCAAAACTAGATAGGAAGAGGCAGCCGGTTCTCTTTTTCAGACCGCATTTTAATACTGTAGTAGAGAGGGGAGGATTTCGAATCGGAGCGGGGACAAGAGAAGACCGGCAGCTCCGCCTTGAAAAGAAATCTCCTTCGGTCAACGCAGCCTATGGATCCACCGGGTCACTTATCGCGCAACCCCATTCACAGCCCCAGCTAGGATCCCCGCAGCCCCCGCAAGCTAAGTTGAAGAAGAAGAGCGCCTTCCTAGCCTGCTTTTAAACAACCCGGCAGGGCAAAACGCAACACCGTGGGGTCCTTGGCGTTCCCTGATCTTGGTTAGTTGTTTTGCAGACGTTTCATCACCCAACTAGGCAACATCATCAGTGCTAGAAGGGAGGCAGTATTGAACTCTACCCTACTTTTGAGAGTTAATTTATAATACCGAGCAGCCCTCACTTGTGTCCCCCTCTCGCCACCACCTTCCCACTCAGAAAGCCTCTGATCTTGGTTAGTTGTTTTGCAGACGTTTCATTACCCAACTAGGCAACATCATCAGTGCTAAAAGGGAGACAGTATTGAACTCTACCCTACTTTTGAGAGTTAATTTATAATACCGAGCAGCCCTCACTTGTGTCCCCCTCTCTCGCCGCCACCTTCCCACTCGGAAAGCCTCTGAACTTGGTTAGTTGTTTTGCAGACGTTTCATCACCCAACTAGGCAACATCATCAGTGCTAGAAGGGAGACAGTATTGAACTCTACCCTACTTTGAGAGTTAATTTATAATACCGAGCAGCCCTCACTTGTGTCCCCCTCTCTCGCCGCCACCTTCCCACTCGGAAAGCCTCTGATCTTGTTTTGCAGACGTTTCATTACCCAACTAGGCAACATCATCAGTGCTAGAAGGGAGACAGTATTGAACTCTACCCTACTTATAATTTATAATGCCGAGCAGCCCTCACTTGTGTCCCCCTCTCTCGCCGCCACCTTCCCACTCGGAAAGCCTCTGATCTTGTTTTGCAGACGTTTCATTACCCAACTAGGCAACATCATCAGTGCTAGAAGGGAGGCAGTATTGAACTCTACGCTACTTTTGAGAGTTCATTTATAATACCGAGCAGCCCTCACTTGTGTCCCCCTCTCTCGCCGCCACCTTCCCACTCGGAAAGCGTCTCGTGAGACAAACACACACACACACACACACACACAAAAGGACGGGGCTTGGCTACCTTCCAACAGCAGCGCCTCCAAGGTCCCGCGATGAGCTTTGGGGGCTTTACTCCGCCGCTTTTAACGATCTGCAGCAAAGGCGGGTTCCGAGAGTCCGTCCCGCCGCGCAACACTTAAACACAGCGCCGGCAGGTGAACGGTTCTAGCTGGCCAAAAAAAAAATCTTCCAGTCCGGGACAGGTGAGCAAACCCACGGCGGGAGCAACGGGAAGGAAGCCCCGGGCGGTTCCCTTGGAAGGAAGAGAATCCGGATCGCCGGAGAGAAGGACACGGCTCCTGGCCTTCTTTGCTGAGCGACTTCGCCTTGCCGCCGAGACCGAACGGCTTGGGCGCAAAAAAAAAATATAGGAAGGCGACGCCGATGCCTACCAGGGAGCAGCAGCTATCCCCCTTTCGGTAAAGTCCAAGCCGCCGCTGCACACCTGGCTCCGCAGAGAGAAGCGCAGAGAAGCGAGCAACAGCAGCAGCGCCCTCCGGAGCTGCGGGACGGCTGGATGCTGCGTGCAGCCGACACTCCCGGCGGCCCCTCCAGCCAAGAAGCAGCGCCAGGAACGCCCCCGCCCGACCTCCTCGCGAATGCGCCCCGACCGCGTCTGGCCGGCGCTACTATAGTAGCGCCGACGCCCCCTCGCCTTTTGACTCCGCCCGTCCAGGATTCTCCCACCAATCCCGGCTCTGGAACTCGCCACATTAGTGGGCGGGGCCGGAGCACGAGAAGTTAAAATGGGGGGGGGGAGAAGGGGGAAGGGAAGAGTCGGGATGCGGATTGCTCATCCAGATCTTCACTTGCTAACTTTCAATGAGGAAGGTCGTCGGAGCGTGGGTGGGGATCAAGTCGGAGTCCGGAGCCATTACCCCTGAATTGTATCTGAAGAGGGATGAGAAGGGAAGAAAGGAGAGGAGAGAGAAAAGAGTAAAGGAGGGGAGAAGGAAGTAGGAAGGTTGGAGGAGAGAGTGGTGAAAGAGAAGAGGAGAGGAGAGGAAGAAGAGGGAAGTAGGGAAGAAAGAGAAGGAAGGGAGAAAGAAGGTAGAGAAGAAGGAGTGGGGATGCAGTGAAAGGGGAAATGGGCGAGCAACACCAAAAGTCATGTGTATGTATTTATTTCATTAAAAAGTATCTTATATATAAGAATGTAAAAAGAATGTATGTTAATATCTGATAAATATCACGGTATATGTATGGGGGAAAGTTTGGAAAAATAAAAAATAAATTAAAAAAAAAAAGTCGGAGTCCGGAGCGAAACTGTTAAGTGTCTTTTTTTTCTTAAGATGGGGCCGGCCCACGTCTCTTATTGTCCCCTCCTGCACTTCGTGTCGCCAAATGTTGGATGGCGGAATAACAGAGTTGGAAGGGACCCTGGAGGTCTTCTAGTCCAACCCCCTGCTCAGACAAATGGTTGTCCAGTCTCTTCTTAAAAACTTCCAGTGTTGGAGCATTCACAACTTCTGGAGGCAGGTTGTTCCACTGATTAATTGTTCTAACTGGCAGGAAATTTCTCCTTAGTTCTAGGTTGGCTCTCTCTCCTTGATTAGTTTCCATCCTTTGCTTCTTGTCCTGCCTTCAAGTGCTTTGGAGAATAGATTGACTCCCCCCCCCCTTTTCTCTGTGACAGCACCTCATATATTGGAACACTGCTATCATGTCACCCCTAGTCCTTCTTTTCATTAAACTAGACACATCCAGTTCTTTATATGTTTTAGTCTCCAGTCCCCTGATCATCTTTGTTGCTCTTCTCTGCACTCTTTCTAGAGTCTCAACACCTTTTTAACATTGTGGCGACCAAAACTGGATGCTGTATTCCAGGTGTGGTCTTACCAAGGCATTATAGAGCGGCATTAACACTTCATGTGAAGTTGGGTTCTGCTCCCATTTTTCTTCTTGAGTTAACGCAGACATGTCAAACACAAGGCCTGGGGGCCGGATGCGGCCCGCGACGTGGTTTCATGTGGCCCGCGAAGCCATCCTGGAAACAGTGAGGGAACAGCCCCCTCTGCCTTGGCCCTGGCCCAGGCCAGCCGGGAGCCAATGTACAATTTTGTGGTGGCCATCTATGCTGAAACTCATTCAGTCTTAGCTCCATAAGCCCCCCCCCCCGCATGGCCTGAGAGGAACAGTGAGGCTCCTCCAGTGGACCATGTCTTGGTGCTTGCCCTGGTCCCACCCCCTTCTGCCAGAGACCCTCAGATCTGTCCCACTCCTGCCCAGGCCCCCACAGACACCCTTGACATGAACGAAGTAGAGCTGGCCACACCCGCCCAGTAGGCCACACCCATTCCATCCACGCCCACCCAGTAGGCCGCACCCACCCTGGCCACACCCTCCCGGCCCCCTGAGGGCAACCGCAATGCTGATGCGGCCCTCAATGAAATTGAGTTTGACACCCCTGAGTTAACGTGTTGACACAAAATGGGAGAGGTGCCTGCCTATAAAACAAGAAATATGCTGGTACTTGAAAACTCCAGTCTGTTGATCAACCTTAAGTTGTGCCCAGAAATTGAGCAATTTTGTTTTTAGTGGGAATCATCACCAGCTATTTAAGCAAAAAGGTCATTGAATCATTCCTTTTAGTGGGAAATGCCTGCAGCTCTGGCATGGTGTAGCTCCTATGATGTGGATTTACTCAGAACCGTCAACAAGCTAAGAGAGATCTTTCTGAAGAATTGTAACTGGGGAGAAAAAATATATTCTCAGTGGGAGTGTTGGTGATGAATCATATAGTAGGTGATAAATGTATAAACAGATTGTGTTAGTTGTAGTTGCTTCGCCAGCTGAAACAATAACCCATAATGGCTTCTGAGTATTGCACTTGCAAGCATATTAGCTAGAGATAGCTGCTATTGCAGGTTGTGATTACATCACAACATTTCCAGTCAAAATACGATTTACTAAATTGGGTTCATTTAATGAACCACATATAATTGGGCCATGAGATGAACATGTTGTACTAATTTAGCCATTATAATATGGGAAGCATAGTTTATATTTCTTGCGAAGCCAGACAATGATAGTTTATTTAGTGAACTAGTTAAAAACAAGAGTTAGTGTGTTGGGAGAATACAGCCAACATATCTTATGGGCTTACTCTGTTGAAAACGCTGTGTTTCTACATTGCTTTAAACCTTACATTTAAAGTTTGTTCAGTTTCTGGTTTAACTCTGTTTGCAATACTTACTAACCCATAATTAATACATACAAACAGTCTCCACTTATAAGTAATCATTTAAAGATGAAGTTACAGTGGTGCTGAAACAAGTGACTTACAACCACACGTAGGACCTCCAGAGCATCTCCACAGACACATGATCAAAATTTAGGATTGGCAATCGGCATGTACAGGTAATCTTCGAGTTATGACAGTTCACTTAGCGACCGTTCGAACTTGCGACATTAACTGCCTCAACTACTTACGACAGTCCCGAAGTTATCAGTGTTGCAGCACCACGGCAGTTGTTCACCCCAGTGGTGGGATTCAAATATGTGAACAACCGGTTCTCTGTGTGGATGCCGCTACTGGAAGTCCATTCCGGGCCTGGACAACAAAAAATTAGGTACTGGTTCTGCCGAAGTGGTGCGAACCAGCTGAATCCCACCACTGGTTCACCCTTACGAACAACCACAGAGGCACTGCAACATTCACACTGCCTAATTCCCTCCCTCTCACTGCCCGGGTCTCCACAGGCCTGTGGATACTCACATTGCAAAGAGCTAGCGAGTCTTCAGTTTCTTGGCCTGCTTCAGTGCTTCAGGCCTTTGGTGTGTTCGCGGAGAATGGAGACCTAAAGTACCGCGAGATCACGCGAGATCAGTAGCGCAAGATCTCACGGTACTTTAGGCCTCTGTTCTCTGCAAACGGAGGCCTGGGCAAATCCTCGGGTTACGAATGTAATTGGCAGGCTCCATTACATTCGTAACTCGAGGACTACCTGTATCTAACAATGGTTGCAGTATCCTGGGTCACATAATTGCCATTTGTGACCTTCCTTGCTGACTCCCCACAACAAAAGTCCATGGGGAAGCTGGATTAGTTTAATGACTGCATGATTCACTTAATAGCCATGGCGAGATAATTGGGCACAACTCGCTGAACCACATGTGTTACCCACACAGGTTCTGCTCCCAATTGTGCTACGTCAAAGGCCACCTGCAATTTATTATTATATATCTTGCGATTGCCATGTGTGACCCTCCCAGCTGGCTTCTGACAAAGTACAGGGGGAAGCCAGATTCGTTTAATGACCACATGATTCACTGAACAACTGCGCAGAGTCATTTAACCATGGCAAAGGTCATAAAATTGGACATGAGTCACTTAGCAACCAGATTGCTTAGCAACAGAAATGCTGTTCCCAATTGTGGCCGTAAGTCGAGGACTACCTGTATCGTAAACCCCCAGCCAATTGTGCCTTTTGCAACAAATAACAGTTAAACAAAACAGGGTTTAAGGAAACAACCCAGACATAAAATAGAAGAATGGATGAACCAATATCGAAAATAATAAGTACTGTCCTTATTAGCCCCGTTTCCCCATCTTACAGCCCACCAGAATGGAATCCTCTTCTTATAAATGGCACCTGGAATATCCATTGACACTGTTTAAATCACTCCGGAAAAATAAAGAGAATAAAGACCCATCTGTGCATTCCGAAAGAATGAAAAGTTCGAGGATGCTCTTGAAGGTTTCAGTTTCCCTTATTTATTTATTTATTTATTTATTGGATTTATATCCCGCCCTTCTCCCGTAGGACTCAGGGCGGCTGACAATCTATTTAAAATACATACAAAACAATACAAATTTAAAATTAATTAAAAGGAATATTTAAATATTTGTCAAATTTTAAAATATAATTAAAACCCCCCTAAAAATTACCCTAGGCCAGTCCTGCAAGCT